TAGGAACCTACTCAGCGATATAAGCGCACGCCCATAGATTTCTCTGTACTGGACGGTATCGGTCATGGTGTGCGTTCTGAGGTACATCTATTCCCAACTGCTCTCAATTTTTCTTTGAAGCTCATTACTGTTCCAGATGCCGTATCAGAATCGCGCAGGCTTAATCTCTCGAGCAGCATCCAGTGTGTCTGGTTCGCAGCCATACTCGCATTACGCTCAGTATGAACGAACAGCAAATATTGGGACAAATACGGTCAGTCTCTGCTTTACATAGCTACGCTTGGCACGGTATATGTACATGTGACATCCATATTAGCTATAGCTAGATTTTTCTTCACTTATTTTTTAATAGACTGGTTGAGGTTGCATAGTGAAGTTTGTTGCTTATCTTAACATTGCAGCAAATTGAGTGTTTGCTTTTTACATTATAATGTCTTTCCTTTCCAGCTTGGTCGTTCATCGGTTCGCAGCGGCCATCTTTCCATGACTCCTTCAGATCATTACAGAGTTCCTTTGGTGAGTTTTTGTTCACTTGTAAAAGATTTGATGATAGTAGCTTCGGAAGCTTTATAGGTGATGCCATTAATGGATCATCAACGATATATTCCCGTAGCTGCTCAACAGCATCAATCTGGTAGCGATTACGGTAGCCAGATTGGTTATCGACCTGGAGATTCTGATGCAGCATCTGACTTTGGTAGAACTAGCATGCAAGACAGATATGGTCAGACTTATTGCAAGGATTTTGTAGTTTTTTTCAACTTTCATATTTAGGAACGCTAAGACTGCATCAAGCACAAGTTCCACGTGCATCGGTGGCTGATGGTGCAAGTATCGTCAGTGAGGAAAGGCCGGATTCGCCTGGTTTTCCACTACCTCCACCTCAACTTAGCTCCAACTATGGATATATTGGCATGACTAGAGCTGATGGTTGGTGTTTATTGGAATTTATTTTTTTTTGTTTTTTTAGTCTCGTTTTTTCTGGATCTGAAAGAAATTGTTTCAATGAGGTTTTTTTTTAATCTTCAGATCTTCCTCCACCTGCTATGCAAATGCTCAATTCAACCCATGAAGATGAACCTCTTCCGCCTCCACCGCTCACCCAAGCTAACTTCTTTGATGCGCAGGCGGATTGGATTCCGCGAAATTACATAGAGAAAGGTAAAGCCGTTTTACGAAATTCTGCTTTTACGTTTTGGCCGCTTTACCTTTCAAGTTGTTTTACTACTCTTCCAACTGCTTTGAAAAACAGGAAATCATTTACGCGTCATTTACTAGAAGTTAGTCATTACAAACTAGTTATTGATTTTCAGCTGTTGCGTTATACGACTACGATGCAGACAAGCCGGATGAGCTATCTTTAAGAGAAAATTGTATTGTTTATGTACTGCGGAAGAATGATGATGGATGGTTTGAAGGCGTTCTGGATGGAGTAACTGGACTTTTCCCTGGGAATTACGTCCAGCCAGTTTGATTTT